TACAGGGATCTATAGGCGATTTCCAGGTTGAGAACCATAGATATTTTGGGTACATAGAAGCGGAACCAACAAAAAGGCCCAAAAAAATTATTAATCCGCAGACAGGGAAAAGAGGCTAAAACAGCACCTGGACATGGATGGCTGGTGCCTCTGTAAATAAATCATTGATGGTCAAGGTCAAGGTCCCAATTTTTGTACCCACATGCACTAGTTCGCATTAGGCCTACCATTAAAAGTCCCAACGATCACGCCATATTGCAAGCTACCGTGGTCTAACAGGCCAACAAAAGTTTGCAAATAGTTTTTCTCAAGTTTCATTTGCCTGCTGAAATCATGGTTAAGATTAGTAACGAGCAGAGATTTTTGTATTGAACATTTCGTCACCTCCATCTCATTTCGTAAGATTCGCACAAAACACGGTAACAATGTTCAAGTGCCCTCAATGCCTTCGTTGATGTCAAGGGTGGAAATAGTCCATCAGTGAGGACCTGTAGAGAATCAGAACAGTCCGTAGACAATGTCTGCAGCATCTCAACGGTCCTCATTTTCAATGCAGATCTTCATCTACGACTAGCCCATTTTCCTGTTCGCGAAGCTGACATGAATCAGAGGATAGCAATGTGTTCATGATTTCTCGATTGTATTGAAAAGCGTGAACATTTCTTGGCAAAGCCCATATTCACACTTTAAGATATGTTAACTCCACTAAATGCTCTTTGGGCAGCCCCACCCGCCACCCTACTGTCTCTAGAAGCAACTCCATACTGTAAAGTGTACAGTTTATGTAGGATTGAGTACTCATGGTTGGGTGGATCCCTGTGTTTGGTAGAGCTGTACCCCGGTAGCAAACCCGCTCGTGCTCGCAAGCCCCTAGTTCAGGTCACAAGCCTCAAATCACTAGGTCAAATCATCAAATCAAATCACCAGCATGATAAGTAGAGTCTAGCACAAACTGTAACCTCCTTGGTCTTCAAGTCCACACCAACTAGCAATCCGCAAAGCCACTCGTTTCAGACCCCCTCATCATTCCCACCTTGCTTGCAATCTGCGAACCCACTTACGTCAGAAAAAGAGAGAGGGGGAGAGTGAGCGAGAGCGATCCCGCTCACACTACTCACAGTGTCACTGCGCGGCGTAGCACTGTAGTCTGCTCGATTAATCGAAGGCTTGCAAGCAGCGGACAGCCGTCAAGTCTCAAATCCCGTCCGCAGCACACAAGTCCCACGATTCACATAGTACTGCTTTGTGCCAGCGAATTGTCCCAGGACAAGCTCACTCAAAGCCTGACAAGTCACTCTGCTGACTTGCTGTCTTGCTGTAGCAGCGAGCGGCAGGCAGTAGGACCGCTCGCTGTGTGCGAGCAGCAGGACAGCTCGCTGTGTGAACTTTGAAAACGTGGAGGAAGGGAGAGGCTGTGCTTGTTTTGGTGCAAGACGTAGAGAGCGGAAGTTATTTTTAACTTCCCGCTGTTGATCAGCTAAGCGAGGGGATAAGTGAGAGGGAGCGTGCTATTGTAGTAACAGAGACCTAAGTTTCTGGTACAGTAGTAATAAGTAGACTTAGATTACCCTGGAATGGAAAACTCCAGGGTCGTTGTGATTGGCTTTTGTATCGTATGTATGTAACCTATTTTGTAGATGTGTTACACCCACAGTGACATAACACAGAACATTTAGGAGACGGGCTGCCTACTTCAACCCAATGTCAGGGCCAATCTGGGCTGAGAGGGAACAACGCCCCAGCAGAAAGACGGAGGTTCTCGCATACACGATTACGGGAATCGAACTGAGGTCTTTTGCGTGCGACGACGAAGCGCTTGGCTCGTGCACTTTAAAAATAAACAGGCCTTTGTATCGTTAGAATAGCTGATCCAACATTAATATTTTTAAGTGCATTGAATAGAGCTTTTATTTTTTTACGACCCGACTATGGAAAACAAACAAACAATCTAGCACTTTTGGTGCAAGCCTCTCAACGCAAATAACCAGAGAATCTTCTGTAATATGTACTGAGCCCACAGCCACGAAGGTTCGCGACGTCACGACACAGTACAGAAGGACTGTCCGCCAGTCACAACTCACCGGCAGTTCCCCCCGGTAGCAACCGGGAGGCAAAGCAAAGCACAAGCCTGCTCGCAAGCCTCTAGCGCAAGCCGTCCGCTGCTTTGCAAGTCTTCGATTAATCGAGCAGAATCCAGCTCTAATGTTTGGCCACCACTGAACATTACGAACAAAGCGTTAAAATGTGGCGAGTCCACAGGAGGACATATAGAGCACTAGTTTTCGGGTAAGAGAAAAGAAATATATTATTATTGTTTAAATGTAACAAGGACGGAAAGATTAAATTTTAAAAAGAAAAGGAAGGGAAAAAAAACAAACCAATCATTTCATGACTCTTCTTAAATTACAAGATCTTTTAAAATAGTGCATTTTACGTTCATAGGTGGGTTTTTTATAAAAGCCGATTTCGTTTTCGAAAACAAGTTTTTTCTTTGTGAATTTTACGTCAAAAAAATTCCTTCAGAATGAATTATATCGGTTCCAAATTACAACATTCTAGTACAGATTTTGTGCGAGATATTCATAAAAAAAGGTGTACAGGTTTTGGTTTTTTGGATCACCCTGTACTTCAGACTTGTTATTTTATGAGACATGAGCAGAGGATACCTTTGGATATCTTTGAAAGGTGTGCGTGTGTGTGTGTGTGTGTGTGTGTG